TACTTACAAGATGCACATATGGGACCAGGCGAGAAAACGTGTAGGCTGTTGCTGTTGTGACCAGCACAAGGATGGTCGAATTCTTAAGTAACGAAAGATTCCAGCTCTTTTTTTTAGAAGAGGAATTAACGTTTCTTTCTTCCGAAGACGGTCTTTGATGAAGAATAATTCGAGTCAGGGATGAAACAACTAAAAGGCCAGCAAACACCCGAAAGGTGTTTCTCCACTCCAAAACATCTACTGCCACCTGAAGAGAAGGACCAAGAATCATCGTTCCTAATCCCTGTCCTGATGCTACCAGCCCAAGAGCAAAGGATTTTCTTTTATCAAAGTAATTGTTTACAATAATCGCTTCCGAAACGAAGACCAGCGACTGACCCACAGCAAAAGGTACACTAAAGGCAAGGTATAGCATACGAATAGTGGAAACAAAAGAGCCCAGTGTGAGGCCAACAGAACATAACAGGCACCCTACCATTGTTGTAACTCGAAAGCCAAACTTTTTGAGGAAGGCGCCCATTACAGGACCAAGAATCAAATTTACGCCATGAATAATAGATGTTATCCAAGCTGGAAAACAAAAACAAAAAATTTAATTACTATCTTTAACGTTCATCTGAGAGTTCTAGCCGGAGCGCGAGACGCACTGAGTCTGACGGCGCTACAGCTGTGATAGAAAGCTAAACATCTCTCTGGACAGTTATCTATTAAAATTCAGGTTCTACTGTCCTCAGACAGGTTTGGCTGTGAGATATTTATTTGCAAAATTAAGTAAATAGTCAAGTATGATCAGGAGCCTAGTGTCATATGTTTTCAGAACCCAATATCCCGCCTTTTCTTTTTTGATATTTTCGCATGAGGCAATTATGAGCCATTATTGCTACTCTCAGTCAACAGTGCGCTTATGCACTGATGGTGAACCAGTCTTGACGCGGAAATTGTGCTTGAAACTACGCTTGTTCACTTGTTGGAGAACTCACTCAACGGATAATAGTGTTAAACATTCACCCAGCGGACTGAATAATGTAGCTAGAGAGAGCAGTTTGTTCTGTAAGACCAAAGATAGGGATTCCGACGACAGATTTTTTTTCTACTCTTTTAACAGTCCAGTCCAGATTTTTGCTTGTGTCTTAAATCTAAAAATCCATTTTTATTCAATACTTACAAGTGCGTTCGAGTTTAAACTTTGCAAAAAAAAAAACATGTACAGCCCTTATTGCTACACCTGTCAAGTATTAGATAAACTGACCTGTGCTTTCGCGATTTTCCTCGAAAGAATTCATGAAAACGGGTAAAAGTACACCTTGAGCATTGCTAAATCCAACGGTCAGAATTACGCAAATAGTGGTGAGCCCACAAACAAACCATGACCACAGACTATCTTGCTTGAAAGAGACAAAATTGCCAGACTGGAATAGATTCATAGTGATACCAATTTCTGACCAAGAGGCTCTGGTCTCCTCCACCCGTTTACCTTAAATATGCCACCACAAGGAGCCGCCACAAATTAGTTAGCCTATTGCAGACTTCCGCTTAAAATATTCAACCGGAAGGATGGTCTTACGGCCGGAACTTCCCATGAAAAAGACGTTCTTACGCACATAAGAATTCAACCGTAAAAGAGTTCTTCCTGCGTTCCAAAGATCCAAAGAAGTTCTTGCGTTTCTGAAACTTTATCCACAGAGCAGTTTTTTTGTTTCGAAAGTTCTGTGCTAAAGGAAGTTCTCCAGCATATTTGAAAAATTCAACCGCCAGGAAGAATGTAAAGAAAAAAGAAGCACACTAGAGCATGCATGATCATGCAATTATTGACTTAATGGGAGTGCCAAACGGGGCATTGTTTGGCTCGAGCTAATCAAGTACTTTATTAAAACGCAGCGAGGTCCGTGCGTCATGACTGAAGGGCTGAATCTTTCACCTTTCGGCTCCGCGTAACTTAGTCGGCTAGCCTTTTTATAATAATCTGAACACTATCATACGTTGAAGTACTAAAAAAATTTGAATTCCTTTTTAAAATTTACTAGGACAGGATTGTATTCAAACTGGAAGGTGCTCACCGGACAACTACAATGATGAAAAACTTTTCCTTCATTCTTTGTACGAGTCAGAACAAGAAACTCACAACTTAATGAAGAACGTGATTAGGTCTTTTATTCAATATTTCAAGCGATCAGTTGAAGTTAACTGGGGCTTGTTACCTACGCACGACGGGTGTGTGCTAGACAAAAAAAATTAGTCTGACAAAAAAACAATTTTTCCTTTATTTTCATAATAAGTCAGAACAAGGAAAATCGAAAATGCTCGAGTTATTTAATTTTTTCAACTGTGAAATGTTCAGCAAGCAACCGTGGACGATAATCCTACTCTTGTACGTTGGATCAACAATGATCTAATCGGCCCAAAATAACCAATATAAATATAGAGGCAAGACCGATACAACGTAGATAAGTTTTAAAACGGAGCACTATATTTCGGCTTGTCAAACCAGCCTTCTTCAGGTGCAGTGGGAATTGACATAGAATTAAGGTGGTACTTAGATAGCTGTATGATGTAATAGCGGAAATACGTAAAACTAATTTGATTGAAAATGAGATAATATTTAAAAATAGAAATAGTAAATAAAAATAGATTTAAAGTGGGGTACATTGAATAAATTAAATAACTAGAAGTAAGAATAGTAGAAGGAAAAACACTGATACATTTCTTCGCAGAGCCCCATACCCTTGGAATATGGTTAACCTCTTTTCATTTGGTTGTCACGTGACTGACCGAGCGTACGTACGTACGTGCCTTCAGATTCCACGGGTAGGGTAGGGGAGACTATCAAACGAAGGGAGGGGTGTCTCAGGCGAGTCTTGGCAAATGCGCATCTTCTATGTTATCATTAATATTACGAGTTTGGGAGCTCCGCTTTTAGGCTTCGCTAAATCTATATATTATCCTGAAGCTCAGTCCACTAGAAAGGAACTTTCGGCAAAAATTGTTGAAAGCATCTTACTATTTTTCTGTTGTTAACATAACGAACCAAATTGGTCTGATCCAAGCAATAGGTAACTTGGGGCCAGTTCAAGCGAGATCTAATTCAAACTGCGGTTTTTATCGGCAAGTTACGGGCATCTCTTTAAAAGGATTGATTTAATTAAATAAATATCTTTTCATAGTTAGCTTTCGGCCCTCTTGACACTGTTCACGAAAATGAGTGTTCAGGTCGGTAAAAGGTTCGGCTAAACTGAAGATAGTTTAGAACGCGGTTTTGTGAATTAAACAACAGCTAAACTTTGTTTCATTGACCGGCCCTTATAGTTTAGAGTTTCCATATGCCACCAAATCTTTCATTCTGAGCAGCACGAAAAACATCGTGAACATTATTTTGAACAATCAAAACCCTTGATAACTTCGGCCCCTGGACTTTTACTTTTAAAACATTTTATAGTGACACTTGAGTTCATTTAGCTTTGATTTTCTCTATTTTTTCCGTTAATTTTGAGCTTTTCATTTACAATTATCGGTTAACTGTATCAAATGTTCTCGCTCAAACCAAAGTATAAAATGTGACGTATTTTTGACCAATAGGGACGTTTGTTTACTTCTTTTGTGCGTTGTTAGAACTTTGCACTCTATCGAGATAAAAAAAGGTTCGCGCAGATCCTTGTTGTCGCTGTGTTCTAAAAGAATTTGTTCACGCTTTTAGCCGTGCGTATATAGTTATGGATGCACGCGGGAGGTTTGGAGAGCCCTCAACAAGCTAGAGTAGCTCTCGGCTGCGCCTCGAGCTACTCTTAGGCAATTTTCGTGCTCTCCAAACTTCCCACGTGCATGCAGAACTCGATATACGCACGCTAAGCCATGATGAACAAATTCTTAAGTTGAATGTGATGCCCTATTTAACAATTCGGATTTCCGACCTCGAAACTTGTTAACAACTACGTAGTTTTTTATCAACGTAGACATGACTTATTAATTCAGATCCCGTTGCGTAAACGCTATGAAAAAAATTAATTGAAATTAAGATTTATCAGGGGGTAAGTTTCTCACGAAACTGAGGTGCTGTGTCGGTGAAAA